AATATGCATATATAAAAAAGAAAAATAATATATATATATATATATATATATATATATATATATATATCATGCATGATCATAAGAAGTTCTTAGTTGGAGAGGAAAAACAATATCTATAGAAGGATTTAAACTTATATTGCAAAATATTTTGTGCTATCACACAGAACCAATAAAAAAATGAATACATAAGCTCAAGGATGTATAAAAAATTTAACATTTATCGCATCGCTAAGAGATGCTTCTTAAAGATTTATAATATGGTTTTGGATTTAGAACTGTATGAGATTTTTTTAAATGTCCCTATTTATGTTTGTGAGAATGTAGTTGATGCATTATTATAAGCTATAACCTTATACCTTCTAGATTCATCATTCAATGTGATTGCATTTTTTATGTGAGCGCTTTTAATGATTACCTTCTAGCAAATTGACCTTATGTTTAACTGATTAATATATTTTGGCTTTGATTATGATATGTTGCATCTTTAACATTCAAAATTTCTCAGTAGATTAGTTTTTCATTTTTGAAAAGCCTAGTAGATATTAATATATAAAGTAATACTTTACATGCAATTTTGTATATAGCCTATAGTTTACAAAAGTTAGAAAATAAAAGAAATATAATTCATAAGCCTAAGATTCCATGAAATAGTGTTAGAACTTGGAGTGTAGTAATCTATGGCTCATAACAGTCACACACATATATAATTCTCTTTCAGATTCTCATCAATGACCTCTTGTGCTTCTTGGGAGATGCCCACCATATTGGCTTATGCCTTGTTCTATAAGTGCTATGATAGAAAAACAGATGGAACATAATACTATTTAGCATAATGGTGAATCAAAGATAAAGTGGCATATTTTTTCCCAAAAGGGGCTAATATAATGATGTCATATGTTGCGTTGATCTTTATAAAGTAAGTTGATCACTTTAGAATAACTTAAATAATGGCCACTCAACGTATGTAGGTGAATTGCTCTGGCCAATGATAATTTATGAAGGCAGAATTCCAACATATGGAAAATAACCAAGATCTTTATATATTGATGTTCTTGGCTTCCCAACTGTAGAGAGACCAACCAACATAATGTTATCATTCTTTCGAGCTTCTTCTTTTTATATGCTATTATCCTTGTATATACCGTGACAAACATACGGTATCGCTCCTCAAATTTGTTTTAAGCATGATGAATAAGGGCGTTCTTGTCTCTCCCATACAATTCTTGCAGTACCTCATGAAACACTATAAACGACTGATGTTACATAAAAAAATTATTAGCACAGGAAATTTAAACTTCAACTATTAAAAAAATAAAAATTCATGCACCTACCGACACGTTTTCTCTTGATGTGCTCAAACATTAACCCTAGGTAGCTCTTTTGGAGACTGCAATAAGTATAAGTATGACTACAACCTTTACCGGTATAAGTAACATATGAGCTAGTGGTCATTATTGTCACATCTCACATCAAGTTAAATGCCATGTGCATGTTTGTTTTCTCATACTTAGAAATGTGTATGTTGAAAATCAACTGATCCACATTTTCTTTCGCATTGGAATAACCCACTCTTCAATATTGGTGTTTTATTAGTTTTAAATCAATGTGATGCATTGCTTTAAACTATCTCATTATGTGATTTGGTTTGTGCCATTCAGCTTGACACCTACTAATAAGGAGCATGCATACCTACTAAATAACAACCTAAAATGTGCATGAATTAATATCTGGATGATATATGTCTCTCAAATCACCTATGTGGGGCTCAATAATGTAAGTTATAATTAGTTTAACTATTACAATAGGTACTTACATTATAGGTCAATAAATATGCTGGCTTGGCTTGGTAGCAAACTGTCAATCTCATCCCTATAAATTTTCAAGATGGTTAACAACATTTTCTTGATTTGATTCCCATTCCACATTCAATCTAAATAATAAATCTATGGCTAAAATAAATCAAAGTTATAAATATTTCTTCATATACTTGTATCCCACACTCTTCTACTAAAGCTCTATGACATAAGATGTATAGAGCGAACCATTATGTAAATCCTCTCAAAATTATACTTACAAATGGGACAAATAACAAGTAATATATACAATATCAGACTTGGTGTTTTTCTCTAACTCTCAAGATTGATGTGCCAACCTACCACACCTCACCCCGCCCCCCACACTATCCAACACCCCATCACCCGCACACGCGCGCACACACACACACACTCAAATATTTATGTATCTAGACTTGGTGTTTTTCTCTAACTCTCAAGATTGACGCGCACACACACACACACTCAAATATTTATGTATCACTATAATTTATAAATTCAAATAAGATAGTAAAAAAATGATTTGTTGTTCACGAACAACTTGTGTTGGACTTATTAAATAGCTCTCATTCGATTCACTCACTAAAGAAATGAGCCCAATATGAAAAATAATATTTTTTTAATGAGCTGAATAAGAGCAGAGCTTGAACTAGCTCAAATTGGGCCCATTTACAACACCATGTAAATATGCACATTCCGCCATATGTATAAAAGTGGAAAACTAGGTAGAAGGGCCTCTAAACAGTGCAGCGGCGCTCTCTCACTCTTTGGCTGCTTCCCATTCCGCCATCAGCGGCCTGAGATTAACCTCAGTATGGCGGATTCGCGCCCAATACTTCACGGCCACATGAACGGCATAAGTGGCGGCGATAACCGGAGCTCTCAACGCCCCTCTCCGGCTTCCTCAAAGAAAACCCTCGAATGGGTGCCGCTCGAAAGACATCCTATCTTCAGCAAAAACAGCAGCACCGCCATTACCGCTCCAACAAACATCTCTTCCTCTATCGGTGCTATTCAAAATCTCCTGGCATGGGATGCCGGATCCTCTCGCCTTTTCCTCTGGGATGCAGGCTCCCAGTGCGTCCACCGCTTAGCCGTGCGCTTCCGCGATCCAGAGCCCGCTTCCTGCTCCACATCCTCCTCTTCGGCGGTCGTCGAGGGGGCCTCCCCATCTGAGGTCTATCTGTCTCCTCTTCTGATGAAAACCCTCAACACTGACATTCTATTTAGAACATTATGAAATTTTGGGTTTTTTGCTCGTTAATCAGGCAATTTGGCGAACATAAACATGCACATTGGGCTAATAGGGTTTTTCTTTGACCAGTTTTTAAAACGAAATATAAAGGATTTGTTTATCTAGAAACCCCTTTTTATAAAGATGAACCACAATTGTTCTTATTGTTAATCAATATCTGTTTCAAAGCCAGATTTTGCATAAGATAAGAGGAGCTTGACCTATAATTTTTTGTTATATCAGTTCCCTTATATTCAATATATTCCGAATTTTTGAAGATTTAGACAATATGAGTTACACCCCTTGTTCAAAAGGCGACACACCCTGACAACCTAGGTCATGATAAAATGATGTGAACTTGTATTGTATCTTCAAAGGTAAAGGTTATACACAAGTAATAACTAAAATAAACAAGAAAAAGATAAATTTTATGTCAAGTCATATATAAGCGCCAACAACTGATACAGCTGAAGGAAAATAAGAAACTGACAGAAATATAATAGAAATGATAGTAGAAAAACAACCACTCAAACTCAAAAAGAAAAAATATAATAGCTAATGCAAATAATGAAAAATACCAAAAACTAAATCTAAGTTGAGAAGTCTATTTTTATGGAGACAATCATCCAACTGTCCGAATGAAGTTTGCTATATATAAATATCAACGAGTGAGTTTAACAAATCAAATTCAATAAATAGCTACTATTTATTTAAACATAAAAGACAAATGAACTGAAACTACAATATGAATAAAAAGATAATTTATTGTATGCATAACCGAGTTTGCAAAAATAATATCAAATGCTCATGATTACGAATGCGAGTGACTTAAAATAATGCACTTCTAAGTAAATATTTTAATGACATAGTACAAGGTTTTCAGGTGTGTTTATATATATAAAAATTATCAATATTTTAATACTCGTTGATAAAATACACACACATACATGCATAGGTAATTACATATATAATCATTTTTTTACGTCATACTGAAATAAAGAATGGTAATTACTAATCACATAAAAATACAATGATTTCTCTGAGAATCCGTTGGTCCTGATAGCCATGTTAAAATGGCTCAATGCCGATATAGTAACATTCTAATATCATGCTTATTATATGCACCACAATTAAAACACAGAGTATAATTATAATAAGTTCAACACAGTTATGAATTTGTAATAATGAGATTTAAGACATTATAAAAGAAAAAAAGCCCGAAAACACAAGCCAAGTAAAATATGCGTTTATGCAGCAATAAGGTGAGACTAATTACTCATAAAAGCCATTATGAACAAGAAATAAAATTCACTGTAAGTATATTATAAAAATTGGAAGTGTAAAACTGACAAATTTGTAATTAACTTTGAATCTAATATAAGTAGTAATTATAACGCCCCAACAACGAAGTGTACGTTTATCCCCTAATAAATAACAAATACTTACATCGAGGTGACCAATATGAAATTTTCAATTTATTTAAGCTTCACCTGACAATGTCGGCTCAAATAGCTTGAACTTCCTGTTCTTAAAATACATTAGTTGTAATAGCACATTAGTTATTATTATTATTATTATTTTTAATATTAACATAAATACATAAAATTTAATCTATGTAACCCAATTAATAAGTTAAATGAATGAGCTGAAAATAAAGAAGAGGGAAAGGAACAATACTTCGATCGAGCAGGAAGGGACATAAAGCGAAGAGTGCCAACAACAAACTAAAGAAAAGGAGGCAATGGCAAGGGCTCGACGGTTGCTTCTGGGCGAAGAGAAGAAAGGAGTTTGTAGTTAGGGCTTTGGAAGAAGGAGGATAGATTTGTTCAAGAGGTATGGACTATTGTAGGAGAGGGCATGCAAGCAAGGGCGACGCCCTAACCCTTTGACTTTGATAAATAAGTAAGGTTGTTTGGTAGCAATCATGGGAGAAGCCCAAATTGGGAAGTCGGTTCACATGAAGGAGACATGTAAGTAGTGTGATTCAGAAAGGTGACAGGGTGAGAAAGGAAGAATTCATATGATTAACCTGATCAAGGAGGAAGGCAACGAGGTAGGATTTAGTTATAGGTGATTTTGTGGGTTAAATGTGGAATTAATGGAGAAAAGAAAGGAAACAAGTTCCAGTTCTTACATATGCTGGTAATCCTGTATGACCATACTGGTCATCTGACTTGGTTATTAAAAGTATGAAGGGATTAAAGATTCCAAGGATCGTTTATTAACTGTTTAGATGGAGTTATGGTTCATCTGCGTGGTTGTGTTGCTTCTATAACTTATGTTTTGCAAATTTTCTGCATTATGGATTGTTAATTTGTTTGTCTATCAGCTCGTTCTTGTTTATTTTGAGAAGAATAAAAAAACCTATGACCATATTTGCCATTTAGGAACATAACACAATGCAAACATGATTTAAAAATTTCATGTTTTTTATTTATGACATATGTTCTATTAAAGTAGGATAGCTTTGGGGCATCCCAATACTCTAGTTCAATATACCTGCAAGCATGAATGCAATAGTGGAGTCATAAAAGGATATAATTTATATGTTGGGTTTGCCTTGTTTGCACTTTAGAAGTTGGGCTTGTCTTGCTTAAAACAATCGACACGCACAAATATTCACAAAATCTAGGGGAATCTACATACATGCCACACAATTCTTATTTATTTACATATCTAACGCCCAAAGTTTGATATTTACATTTATAACACCTTGGTGTCATAAAGCTATGCAGGAAATAGTGTAATTCACTTTTATAAAGATTGTTATAGTGGTATTTTTGATGCGATGTTAAAAATTTGAGTGTTATACATGCAAATATGAATGTTTATGTGTTAGATATGTAAATACATAACAATTATGTGGTATGTATGTAAATTCCCCCAAAATTTAATATATAACTTGCTTTTCCATGTTAAAAACAATACACATAGACACCTATCCAACACACACAAGCACACTTGTACTTCCATGCACACAATTTGATAATTCTTTAGGACTTACTTATTCAGACGAGAGATGGCATCATGGAGTTATGGCCTAAAAATGCCTAAGTGAGCATCACTTCGACACGGTAGAAAAGATGTCAATTAAAAAAAGATGTATTCTTGGTTATAGCCCAAAATCATGTAAGCATTACTTGATGTCCTAAAGGAGGTGTCATTTTCTTAAAGATATATCATATTGCTGAGTAATATTTTTCTATAGATTCAGGGACAAATCTTTAGAAATCTAAATACACGTTCTAGTCAAAAGATTAGAGCTAGGCATTAAAATCCTTAGACACATGTAGCATCAATTAGTGCCCATAAGACAATAATAACAATTATAATTTTATCAGTACTACAAAAATAGAATGGACTTGATTTACTATAATGTGTTTCATGACAATTCAATAACAATAACATACTATTACACATTTTAAATGCCATGCTACACATTATATGGTACAAATATAGTGATATGTTTTGAATCCTGATTTGTCTGCGAATCACACCAAAGGAATATATCGTTAGGAGAGATAGATAATGAAAGGAGTGAGCATTAAAACGTCGTATTAATTGTGTCTTATTCATAAAATGATCTTCTAGGGTATAATGTTACAATGTTACGTCTTTGCCCCCCGCTTTAAAGGAGGTTGTACAAGATATTCTTGGTATTTGCATGTATGAGCCTACCACTGGACTGCTCTCTGGCTAGGTTGGATAAGCTTAATTGGCTTCTAGTCGACAAGACCAGTTCGGTCGGTTGGGCTTGGTCTGCGTTGCTAGTCGGCTAATCCAGTATGACTGTCAAACCCCTAAATAATAGATGAGAGACTTCTGGACGTCCGCGACATGATTGAAGATACTGAGGGACCATGTCTTCTCTCGAGTCAGATTCTTTGTAGTGGCTGACTCAGATGTCTCTTTTTCTCATTTTTGATCGAAAGGTTCTGATTCAGATGATTTGGTATTTTTATCTCTTGTGGCTCGGTTGGCTTTGACTCGGATAACTGCACTCGGTCAAATCACTTGGTCGGATAAGTGGGCCACACATTCTCTGTCAGTGAGCCCTCCCTCCTCATACATTTCTCCTATGGACCGTCAGCCGTCCTCATGATCAATGTTGATACTTTTTAGATGTACATGTTTTAGTTTTTCGATTTCATTACTTATTGAAATGACTCTGCGATAAGAATAAGAGATTCTAATGCAAAAAGTATGTCACATTTATTATTAATCAGTGATTCAATAATTAAACTCCCTTGATTTATGCGCCTTTGATTCTTATAAATAAGTCGTGATGAAACTCTTCACATTCCATATTCACTTTGCATCCCTTCTTGTTTGAATCAGTCACCTTCTAAGCATTGTAATAGAGAACATTCAAATCCCTAGGGCGATATACCCAATAAAGATTTGCTCCGTGCTACTTTCAAGAGACCGAATCAACGATGTTGTCTGGAAGGTGAAAGAAATATGAAAACCATCGTTAAGAAGAGAAAAACAGTCTTGCTGATGAATCACATGGGGTCGTCTGATTTGTTACTCGACAATCAGGATGAATGCTCAGGCGGCCGACCCGACTATTGATCCATCGACTCAACCTTTTATTGCGACACAAGACCTGTTGACCGAATGGGCCACCAAAGAGGTTATTACTTTGTCGCTGCCCGAGGCCCAAGAAACTGTTAATGTTCCGCCATTGCTTGATGAGAGCG